TACTATGTTATGAATGTATATCAATAAGTTTGGTATCAATTTGTAGATTGTAATAGAAATTTTATTATAATACATTAGTTAATTTCTTAATTTAAAAGTAAATATAAAAAAAAAAAAAATCCTAAATATCAATTTTTGTGTGTCATGTGCTATTGGTTCAAATTAGATATTTGTGATGTTCAAATACAAAGTTTATAGTTTCTTTCGAATAAGGAACTCCAATTATCGATAAAGACAAGCTAGAATATCAAATAAGAACTTCCTATATTTTCTATTTGCTGAGATATCACTACATGTACCGAACAAACACGGTGGCCCCACCTATTTTCATTTTTGGAAAGACATGCTTACGTTCACTTACTTCTATCTACCATGTGTGAATAACCAATCAAAAGCTCAGAATGTCCCCCTAGTGGCTTTCTCAGTGTAATTGAAGTATTCAGCACCAAACTCGTTCTTTTAAAGCTTGGATTTGAAAAAGTAAGGTAACTTTAGTGAGTTTGAAATTTCATGTCTTTTATTTTTATTATGAATAAAATTATTGAACTTAAAACTACGAATTTAAATACAAAAGTATATAAAAAAAATCACAAACTCTTACAGTTCAAAGTCTTAAGCCTATATCATGTAAAGACCTTGCACTCGCCACTCGATAGCTGTTAACCCTAACAATTGTGGATCAAATTCTTTCCTAAAAAATATATCTATTTTGAGTTAATTTTTCAATATAATGATTAATATAAACAGATATACCATGCAGCATGAAAGTCACGTACATCCCATGCAGTTTTTTCCAGAAGCAACTTTTCTAACGCTTATAGAAAAGCCTATTGGCCAGTACTAAATACAACCTCTACATTAAATGGCAGTTACTATAATAAGCACCATCCACATTCATATTGTAAAATCCAGAGAACAACGTTTCATCACGTGCTTTCCTTATCATCCTATGATTTGTCAAATGGGAGATACAACAATTGGAATAATTGGTACTGAAATTGACACTTTTGACTAGGATTGGCTAAAAGTTTTACAACTGAGGTTTAACATGCCCAGACACAGTTTTATAAAAAAAGCAGACTAGAAAAAGGTTTAGATACCAATCATAGATGGCAGGACTAGTGCTGAAGTGAAAGGAAATATCTTTAAAAAATTTTTGAAAAAACATTTCTTCTTACAGGGTATTTATTTACAGTCTAAAACGTATTTTAAGAATTTTTTTATTAAATTTCTCTTTAAACTTCATTAAATAATACAATTTTCTACAAATAATTGAATGTTATGCTACTATTTACAAAAATAAAATCCTAAATCCAATAAAAGATGAGTTCTCTATCATTTTTTCAATTCACAAATGATTTTGCCCTCACAATAAGACAAAATGGCCCTGGCAAGTATCGGGTTAATTAATCATGTGAAACACTGTGGAAGGACATTAAGAGCTGGGTGTTGAAAGCAATTAACAGAAAGCACCCCAACTGCCAGTACTTTGGCTGGTACATCTTCCTACACAGTCATCCTGATCATCCCACAATGTATACTATATTTTAAGTATATACATATTGAGTTCTTAAAGCTTATACAGAACTTTTGGTGAGGTAATAATGAATACTGTAATAATATGTTATTTTATAAATAAATTGTGCGAAAGTTAGGATTTTTGTGTTACTTATCATACCATCCACCCACACATTTTATTAAGCTTATAACCCAAAAAAGGATGGGTACCTCAGCTTGTTTTTTATAATTCCTAGATTCCAGTTTTGCAGCACTGTTGTGATTATAGCATTCAGTGTTATTTGAACTTGGAATATATGAGTACTTGCAGTGTTTGAAGTAATCATTTTGATCTGGAATAAAAGCATATAATTTGCTAATAAAAATATGTTAACCAACAAAAACATATTAGAATTGTATGTTAGTCTCGAAATGTAGAACTAGTTATCTAGGGAATCAATTTTAGAACAATACACTCCTGCTTCCTGCTTTACACTACATTTTACAGAATTTCAAACCTAAATTAAACTAATCTAAAAATATGGTTTTATACGACTGTTTATTTTGCTCTCTTATTTTACATAATTAAGACTCCTTTACCCTATTGCCATGGGCATCCTTTACTGTGCATGTCACAAAGTTTTAGTGACTTACATTAAAAAATTTTTGAATCTACTCTTTGTTTATGTCATACCCATTAGCATAGCATAAAATCTCAACTAATAATCCATATTTTAATAGTATATAAGTTTTAAGTTCTTAATTTTATAAGCCAATATTAAAAAAATACAGAATTTCCCCTAGTGTGACACATTTTCTCTAGGCTTCTCCTCTTCACTATTTTATCTACCACCCCTCCAAGAAGTACGAAATTCAACATAAATTACTCACTGTAAAATCGCCCTTGCTCAGACACACCATAATTTTTATAGTCTCCAATTCTGTTTGGTTACACAGCCATCAAATAGAAAATAAGACTCCTCTTGCCACACCCACCTGTCACATCGTCTCTTTCAGGATTTGTTAATAGTTCTCTCTTACATTTAATTCTGTATTATCTAAAACCAATAGAATGCCAAGGTTTTCATCTATCAAATGATGTATTATGTAGCATTGTTTTAAGAATGTAGAATTGTCAGTTTCACTGTTAGTACAAGCTTCGTTCCCATGGGAAAGATAATGACTAGCTTGGATGAATTTGTA